GGTTTTTCTCTTCTCACTCCTCAAGCCCCTAATATCTCCTTTTTTCCCTTTTCAAATCAAAAGCCTTTCTTGGTAATCAAAATAGAGAGGTTACCCTGAGATAAACAGTCTTTAAATTATCACCAAGGCAAGAAAACTTGGGAATATTTTATTTACTAGGCTGATTACATTTTAATGTTTGAAGAAAGTGACATTTTTTAATTAGTGTTTAAGACATATGGTGAGTGTACAAATTAGCTTATTTCATACAACCAGAATTTGATGAGAGCAACTCCTTCTCATTCCCCAGTTAAAAATTGTCACTTGAAACTTAATATATGCGAGGGGGTTAAATGGTATTAAGTGAGGCAGCCTAGACTTAAAGATGAAGGAGACAGCCACTGTTGTGTGTGGCTAAATATTGCCTGGATGGGCTGGAAAAATACTAGTACCGACATCTGTGTTTGCAAGAGGATATGGAAGTTCCAGGGCATTAATTTTGTCCAGCCAAGAAAACAAAATTCCAGGTATCCGTGTGTGTTGGTTTCTCTTTTAGATACGAGAGAACATAAAATAGTGCATGCACGCTCTGTGATGATATCCTCCTTAATATCAGGCCATATAACATTATAAGTGATGAGATTTATTTTTGTCCAGGTGGTTCTTTATCTTTGAACATCCACCCTCCATCACTTGGGGCTTTCAGCTTGGGACATTCTATTTATTCCTGGCAGAGGAGCAAATTAATTGGAATAGAATTGTACAAAGGAGACACCAAGTTTGCTATATATCCCAAATAACATAGCACAGAAACGTTCCACCTTGAGGTGGATCTTAGGCAAAAAGAACAGGACTGAAGAGAGAGAGAATTACTTTCTCTTGTGGTCATTTATAGCTATTGATATAATTGTATTTTTAAAAGGGATGCTTAAGAATTTGTTTTTGTTTTTGTTTTCCAGTGCCTTTATGTTTAAGCTTTTGGTTATTTCCTATCATGAAAGACTCTATCAAATAACCTCATGCTTTACTCAGAAGAAAAGTTGCACCCTTAAACTCTCCTGCATCTTGTATGTGCTTCATCCATATGCTCACTTTTGAATGGAGTTTTTATCAAGCGAGTCAATATTTTTCTCTTTTTGCTAAAGGAGAATATTTCCATGGAGTTTTTGGTCCCTCCCCCACCGCCCTGCTCTGTGTTGATTGGATTTTCCTTATTCATCCTTTGCTGAATGAGACAAAGCATGTTTGTGTTTCATTCTTCACAGTTCTTATTAGAATTGGTGATGGTGTTTTGTTTTGTTTCCTCCCTATAAGTAAGGAGAAGGAATTTTATTTATTTATTTTGATAAGATACAGAGAGATACAAGACACGATGCCTATAATGTCACACTGTACACCTAAAAGGGGGGCGGGGAGGAACACCACAGTCCTTTAAGATGGTTCATTTGAATCTGTGCACTCTACCCACCTGGTGGTTATACAGTGAACTGTTACTTTAAAGAGTAGTTTAAACACCAGCCATGTTTGGGGCAGGCTGCTCTTGCAAAGAGAGCAGTACATATAACAGGAATCTACTGTGTGTGAGATAAGGAGAAAATTCAGCTCACTGACTAGAGGTTTTAATGTGCGAACTCTAGGGAAATAATATATTGACTGTTCTGTGGCGCGCAAGAAAATTGAAGAACCCTTTGCAGACGGAGTGCTTTGCAAAGGATTCTATCTGTTTCTCTTAAAACAAAATCTGTGGCAAGATGTTTGAAATCAGCAGGACGCTTAATGCTGCTTTGTTAAATAATGAGGTAATATTTTGTCACTTTTTTTCTGGGCAGCATCTGTTTCCCCCCCCCCACACCCCTCTTCATTTTTTCCCCTATGTTTATGAAGGAGTCTTTTTTTTTTCTCTTTTTTCTTTTTTCTTTTTTTGTTCTTCTCATGGAAGTCAAGGAATACAATTCACGCTTCCCTTTCTGTTCCTTCCTTTTGGTGCTTTTGGAGAATTTGGTTTGTCTTTTTTATTTTCAGTTTCAGCCGGCTGCTGTTTCCTAGCCCATTGTGCCACGTAAGGCTTCTCCACTGCGCGGAGTAGGTAGTTATTAACGCTGAATTGGCTTCTGGTACAGTCCATCTGGACTCTGTGTGGGAAAGCTGGCTGCCGGCGACTGATGCTGACATATCTGCAACCTTTGGGATGTGTGCATGGTGGCAAGGGGCTGTCTGATATGAGATTACTTCTTTTAAGGGAAATTGTTATTAATGAGTCAAGAAACTGCTCATTTATGGTAAGAGGGATACAGCGGCGCTGGCAGCCCCACAGCTCTGGGATATCATTTTTAGGTTGCCTTAGCTGCCTGAGTGAGACAAGTTTCTTTCTGTGGTGGTGGAGGATTGTGGCAGAAAAAAAAATCATGCATGACTGGGAGACTCGCCTGCCTGATTCTTGAGATAATATATTGAGAATCTGTTGCTTTACAAATGTCACACCACTGATGGAGCGGTCAGCCCCTCACTCTGAAAGATGAATGGTACTATTGGAAATGCAATAATAAGGTTGACTTTTCCCAACAATAGGATTCTGCCTTTGTCTTTAGAGAAAAGGCCTCTGAGGACATTTGTGCATTTGTTTGAGGATTCCGTTGAAAGACTTTAAAGTGGAGGTTTTTTGGAGAAGTAATCAATATACAAAGTGCATGGATTTTTTAGCCTAGCAAAACCAGCTAATCATTTATACTGTAATATACAGTTCCTGTTTCAGAAAAGTGGCCAGAACATCTTTTGATATACCTACTGTTGATTGATGGCTCACTGAGTGTGCGGAGATTAATATGGAAGGGAGAGAAAGGTTTTAAAACATTCTGACTTTTATAACCTCCAGAGAGATACAAAGTAAATATTTTGTTCTGGAGCAAGCTGTTTTCATTTGTGTGTTTGTCAGCATTGTGTTCACCGTTTTCTTTTCACAATATTTTGATATTGGTAGGATTGCATTCAGAGTTTCTGTTGTTGATTTGGGGCACCTGTACCTGCCCTGTGTCTGTATGTTGAGCTCTTTAGAACACTTACTTAACCTATGAATTCATCCCTAGAACACAGTTCAACAGATACTGTAGTACTATTGTGACTCGTAGGACTGTATATTTGCTAGAGAAATTATTTTAAAAGTTTACTTAACCCAGTATTGTTCCACCATAACTATTGTTACGGTGTTAACATTTCTGCTTTTCTACTTCATGTATTTTTATTTCGAACAGCTGAATGTATCATAGAGTGTACCCAACACATATTGTTTTGTGGTATATCTGTATTTTTTTAAAGTGTCAATATATATAGTTATGTGTGTGTATGTGTGTGTGTGTGTGTTCATGAAATAGTAGCTGGGAGAGAATGGTTTTAATTTTTTTTAATGTAAAGGTCATTTTCTTTTCTAACAATTTTTCATGGGCCCGTCTGTTCTTGGATTTTGAAGCCCAGAGTGTAGTATGATTTTCGGCCTATATTTCTATTCTGTATAGTCCCATCTCTCTGTCAACCACAGCCAAAGATTTAAAATTATGTTGAATTATTTCCTTAGTAATACTCATTACCTCTATGTGTTCATTGAAGAACAAACTGAGTAAATTGTGAATTAAATAAATAGCAGTAAGTTAGCCTTTTGGATAGAAGTAAAGCAGAAACTCCTCAGGTAAGCAACTTTAAAACTCAAACCAGAACAAATTAGTATCCTACTGAAGACTGGTGTCACAGAGGGTATGACATATATAACACAGGCAGACAGACTGTATACATCACCACACACTTGCTAAATATCTCTTTGCAAGTCTTTTAAGAGGCCAAAGAAAAAAGACATCTTTTGAAGGAGAGAAGCAAAATCACATGTTCAGTTAAGCAAGATGAGCCCTCTGCACCGGTTATGAAATGATGCTGTTGTCAAAAGCATGCTTTACCATTCTCTATAACAGTAGGGAAAGCAGAGAGGATGTGTTTTAGTGGATTTTTAAGAATTCAGATCATGCCCCTATCCAAGTTGAGAAATAAAATTCATTTAAATAAATCATTCATCATTCTCTATTTTGAAAAGCTCAGACAGAAGGCAGAAAGGTAGAGGCTGACAGCTGCCCCCCTTCCCCCCACCCCGAGCTTTTTTTCTTTTTTTGTTTATTAGGAAGTAGTTTTCTGAAGCAAGCTTGTATGAACCTAGTTTGCGAAACAAGCACCATGGCAAACTTGCCTTCTGTTGAAACACTGGCCATGTTAGCTGCAGAAGGAGCGTTACTTACTGAAAATCAGCAATATTAGGAAATAATAAAGTTAAAACGTGGATGTATTAGCACATTAAAGTTCTTTTGTTGTATCTTTAAGCCTAGAGGCAGATCATTAAATATGCATTTCGCTAGAAAGCAACTGTCCAGAAAGATAAGGTGGATGAAAATATTCCATCCTGGAAAAGCCCTCTGTCAAAGGGGTTTGGTGGTGCAGCCCTCAGGATAGGGGAGAGGGAGGACACTCCCACTGTTAAGGTTTGCAAGCGGCCGGTGACCTGCAGTTGTTACAGTACTTTTGAGCTGGGAGGAGGGAAAAGGTAAAAATACAAGTATGGCTGTTGTTGCTTCTGCCTGGCCTTAATTACCAGACACAAGAAGCAGTTCAGAAATCTGGTCTCTGTTGTTGTAGAGGTCACCAAATCATTAACATCGTCAATCTGGCAGTAGCTAATTTAAATAGCACCTGATGTTGCAACGCCTCCCTTCCTTTCCCCAGCCAATCAGATCCTGGCTTCGGCTGACAGATGGTCCCATAAATGGATGTAAAAAGGGGAAGCTTCGAGCCAATTTCAGCAAGGCTCTGTTCAGTTGTTCTTATCTACATCCTAGAATCGGGGGTTTCAGCTCACTGCTCCTTTTCTTTCTTTTTTTTTTCTTTCTTTCCCCCATCCCCTCCCCCCAAATAATTGATTTACTTTACAATCATCCACACTGTGTTTTGTGGATCTTTAAATATATATAACAATAGTAGTCATTTAAAAAATATATTCTGAAACCTTTACAAATTTTAAGAGAAGAGTCGAAGCTCTGCGAGACCCAATATTTGCCAATAAGAATGGTTATGGTAGGTATGACTAGATTTATAATCTGTTGTTTGTGTTGCTGGAGGGAAGAAAAGCATCTACACCTTGACCAGTCTTATGCTTGCACAAGAGTTTAGTTCTCTGCTGCTGTTGGGTTCCAACATTTACTATCTCTTTTGTGTAGAGAGCGCCGGTAGGTCCTTTTATTGAAAAGCAGTGGGGAAATAGATTGTCATTTTTAACAGGTCATTGTCAATTTTCCCTTCAACATAAAGGATGGGGGTGATGTAGAGGGGACGTGGGCTGAGATAATTGCTGGGTTTTTTTGAAAGAGGTTATATTACATGAGACCATATTGGCAAAAAGGGTTTTGGGTTTTTTGTTTTTTTGTTTTGTTTTGTTTTGTTTTTGTAAGGGCGAGGGGGTTTGTCTGTTTGCCTGGGTTTTGTGGAGCTGGAGGTGGATGCAGCCGGGTTAGGAATCTCCATTTCCGTGCTGGAAATTTAAAGCTCGAGAGGCAGTTCCTGGATACTGAACGTTGAGATGGGCAGTTGTGTTTCGGGGGACTGCGCAGTCAAAACGGCAAAGAGAGTGATTTATTTGGGCTTCAGTAAATGCTGCATCTTGTATTTCAAAGAGTTTCCTGTCATGACCTCATAAAAAAGAGGAGGCGGCTTGTATGTGTAGCGGTGCCTGGCGTGTTGAGTTGTTGCTTCCTTCTCTGGGCAGCAGCTCTGTAAGAAGGAATGTCAGCTTTTACATAACGTTCCTTTCCGCTTTTGACACACTGTGTGAGGGTCCATCTTCTTCTGATCACAGATGGAGTGGAATGGCTTGAAGATGGTAAGTGAAAATTCAGAGGAAGGCAGCTTGGAGATTCCAGCCGTGTGTGTGTGTGTGTGTGTGTGTGTGTGTGTGTAAGGATGATGGACTGTGCATCGTAAATCACTGTGCAGATCGTGTGTGTGTCTGTGTGTGTGTGTTTATTAGTATTTCTCTTTTCTGAAACCCAGAATCCATCTCCAAGTGTAATGGCACTGCATGCACACAAGGCACACACACTGTCTCTTCCATCGAACACACATTTAGCCAAGCGAGGTTGGTGTCTTTTTTGACAATCACAATGTCACCGTAGCTGTTGGCTGGCGTGTCCACCGCCTCTGTGAGCTTTCAGCAGAATTACATGACTGTTAAAGTTAAAGGCACATTTCTTTTTCAGTCTCTTCCTAGGAGTGATGGGGAAGGCTTGGTATGAGGGGTGGAGGAGGTGAGGTTCAGTACCAGCAGATGCAATTGTAAAGCAGGACTTTCGGATGTGGAAAGGGAAGTAGAAAACCTTTCTGCCAAAGTAGTAAATCTATTTTTAGCATCATCTTTTTCGGAAAAAAAAGAAGCAGGGAAACTCCTTGAGTGTCGCTCCTGTCGCCTGATGTTGACCCTGAAGTATGGCACAAAATGGCACAATCAGATGCCACGAGTGCCCACTTTGACTTTGAATTTCACCAGGAATAGCTTTCACAGGGTTTCAAAGCCGGGTATGTGGGGAGGCTGTAAATTCATACCCATCTCACTTATTTTTGCTAGGAAAGCCTGGGGAGGACTTTTCGCTCTGCATAGATGTTATAACAAAGCTGTGGTCTTTTTCCCATTCTTAGAGGATTGCCTTTGTCTGGCTGCTTGTTTTGATGGGTGTAAAACAAATAAGATTAGACCGAGCAGCCCAACTGAAAGCGATAGCTGGGAGGAAAACCCAATGAAAGGTTGCCGGGGAAACGAACAGAGGAAAAGCCGAGTAGGGAGCAGGTGGCTATCATGAGAACACACTGCAAACAGTGTAAAAAAGGGGGGAGGACAGGACCTCGATTATCTTTGCTGTTCTTTGTGGCCGGCCCAACTTTAATTATTCTTTATAAATAGGTGTTAATTACATTTCTAACTCTGGTTTACAGTGATTTTTAGAAATCTATTTTTAAGCATCTGTTCTGTCTCTCCTGGTTTTTTTTCTTTCTTTCTTTCTTTTTTTTTTTTTTTTTTTGGTTTAAAAAACAGAGAGAGAGAGAGGGAGAGAGAAGAAGAGGGGGGAAGGGAGGGAAGGGAATCTTGCTTTTTTTTTTTCCTCTCTCTCTCTTTCCCCCTTTTCCCTGCTGTGAAATTGTACGTGCGAAAAATCGCAAGGAATCCTGTGAGGCCATTTGAAAAAAATGTAAATTATATTGAATGAAGTTGACGGAAGCATAATAGTGAACTCCCACAGCTGATAGATTCTGCAAATGATTTCTTAGAAATTTCCAGCAAATATCCATAAGAGAAATATAGGTAGGATAGATTTACCCTAAAGCAATGATTTCGTGCTAGCTGATATTGGTGGGTTTTTTGTTTTTTTTTTACTAAATCAGATGTTGATACTACAATTCCAGGGAGTTCATTGTATCTCTCATTTTATATCCCGAGTAGAAATTACTTTTGAAAATAATCAGTGAAAAGATGCATTCTAGCCTCTTGCTTCGTTTACCTCTCCATACCTCCAGCCACAAGGTCCATCAGGTGTACCCTTGCAGCCGCTGCAGTGCATTTGGTCCTGGGTCTGGTCTTGGCATAAACTGAGTGAAAAGCTGATTTTTTTTTAGTGTCTCTGAACGTCTAGGACCCATGCGTGCGCTGGGTGACAGGCATCTCTCCCTTTTTCTCTGAGTATGCTTTACTAGTAGTCTCTTTTTCTCATGATGGTGGGTACTAGAAGGACAGAAAGGTATAGTGCTTAGGCTAACAGGAGGTTGCATGAAAACAATGATCTGTTTTGGTGTCTTCCAAATTAGGTACAAGATCAGGTAGCTAATATTAAGCCCAAAAAAGAGAGATTAAAAAATACTGAAATATGTTAAAAGGTTTGTAAATATAATTGGCTTTACTGAAAGTGCCCTTAATTTTTACTCTCTCCATTGCAGTTTTCTGCACTCACACCCTCCCCATTCTTTTTTACCTTGTAAGAGGCTTCTTTTTGTTTTGTTTTCTAATTGGGGGATTTTTAAAAATTTGTTTTGACTCTTGAAGTAAAAATAAATAAACTTTTTTTGGTCATATGTCGTATATAGTTAAACCTTTGCTCTCATATCTTGGGTACTTAAACATATGTCTCTCTTAAAAATTAAAATAGTTTTTTTAATTATCTCTAACATACTTTTTTCTAAAAAATTTCTAGCATGTTTTAGTTAGGGCAAAACCATTTCCATGAGAACTAGCACCTTGTCTTGGGTTGTAAAAAAGACACGTGGTTCTACTGCTGACCTGTCTTGCTTCTTTGTCTTAAAAACATTAATGCCTACTACCTGCATGAGGAGGTGTGCCTTTATGGAAGCACAAGGCTGAGAGTGCATTTATTAAGAAATGAACATCTGATCGGAAATATTTCTGCAAAACACCCCTGACTACGTCCCAGTTTTAATGGTCAGAGTAACATATTGTAACATATTGGCCAAATCATTTAAATGATAAAAAATTTAAATTTTTTAAAGGATAAAATGAATGTAGATAGGAAAAAAGCTGAGAAACTGCTTCGAGAATCATTGACTTATAAGATAATTTTAATATCTGAGAAAAAAAAGCCTAACAAACAACTTAAGCACTCATTTTTGTAACCTCAGTCCCATTCATTTCTAATTGCCATTCATGCAAGTCATCCTCCTGGCCAGATATAGATGAGCTTGCTTCTGTGTGATAGTTTTCCAAAGCCTTAAAACTTTTTTCTCTCCTGATTGCCCTTCCTTGGTCCTTTGAACATTCAAGGATTTCGTTATGAGAGGAAGGCCAGATTGTTATGAGCTAATAACAATAGAATATTTTTTTAAAGAAAGAGAAAGAAAATGAGCTACGTGTTTGCATTTTAGTTCTTAACTCAGTCTTGAAAAAGGGTTTGAGATATGGTAGACTTCAGGTATTCTAAACTTAGCATTTCTGTTTGGGATCATCTATTTGACATTTCAAATCTAGAAATCATTGCCTGAATAGTGCTTTGTGTGTGTGTTCAGGATCTCTAAAAGAATTTGTGGGTGATTCAAGGTGTTTTTCTCAGGAATTACCACGAACAATGAAAGGGTTTCCTCAGGCCAATCCTTTCTTTGGTTTGATTTCTTCCCTTTACACTTATTTCCTTATTATGGGTGTAATCTTTTCCTATATGTAGACCAAATACTATTCCTTCCATGATGATATACGCTGCTTCAATTAGCCCGTGGCATCTTAATGCCTTATTTTAATTTAAAAAAGAAAAAAGAAAACGAAACAAATTGTATGTACCGCAAATAAGGAATGGCGGTCTTGATAGAGGTCATTGTATGTGAACAGAAGTACTTTGGCCTTGACAAATTTCTTCATCAGTTGCAATGATCTGTGGCCACCAGGCACTTAATTTATATGCCTGGGCACTTAATATATACATTTGTTGGTGAGCTGGCCAGCAGATGCTAGACACATGAGTGTGCGCTGGCAAATGCTGCAATGCAGTATTTTTCCCCAATGTCATTGGGATTTTGGGGGGCATGAAGGGACATAAACATTCTCAAGCTTTTATCTTACTACCTTCCAGAAGATGGATCATGTTGCACAGAATTGGCCAATTCTCCTTTTGAAAGTGAAGTCAACCTTTTATTGCCAACTGTTCATTCTTCCATGCTTTGATAGATATGTGGAAATTATGTGTATGTGACAGAGAGAGACCCTGTGTGTGTGTATGTGTGTGTGTGTCTCTGTATAAGCATGTGTGTTTCTGGAATCCTGCACCTGTCTTAGGTTTTCCTTATTTGGTATTACCAAATGTGTATACATACTTGCAAGTATATGTGCATCTAAAAATGGAAAGAAAACCAAACTGGGCTGGCTTCCCATAGGAAGTGGCTTCTCCTCACAGACTCCCAAGAGTTTTCTTATTAGAAAAAATACAAAACTCAATCAAAAAAGATAATATCCAGACCCTGCAGACTTCCATTAGTAATCAAATACCTTTCTTTAGTTGCCACTTGAGAAACTATAAATGTGCAGATCCCTA